GCCCAGGCCTCACTCTTCCTTCCATTGTTGAGAAAAAGGGAGCAGGTAAGGTGAGCGGTGAAGTCCGCTGTTTGTCTGTACAACATGTATCTAGATGTCCTGCGCCTACACTGACAGCTACACTTACGCTTGCAGAAGTGGGCAGTGGTGGCCCAGCAGTAGAATTTTCTTTTTCCATGTGGGAGACCCGGTTTCAATTCCTGGCCTATGTACCTCATGGGCAGCTACCACCTGTCTGTCAGTGGAGGCTTGCGTGTTGCTATCATACTGAACAGGTTTCAGCAGAGCTTCCGGACTAAGACAAACTAGAAAGAAAGGCCTGGTGATCTTCTTCTGAAACTCAACCAATGAAAACGCTGTGGATCACAGTGGGCCTGTCCACACCGCCGAATTGTGCCCCATCACGCATGGCATCACTAGGGGTCATGGGAGTAGGGGAAGGAGCGGGGCTGACTCATTAACAGCTCAAACAATGCTTGCTTAGATCCAGCCAGCGTGCCTCACGCCCGCCGTGTTCACATATATCAGTAGGAGCAACACACTTGCAGATATCCGTGTGCATGCTGCCACAGCCCTACAACATTCAAGGCGGGCATCTATGTAGCTGGGGACAAGAGTATGTGTTTTCCGTGTAACATCACTCCACGCTTGTGTATGTTTGCATACCAAAGCTTTGGTCTCTACCATTCTCCCAGGGGCTGACCTCAGGGAGCCCGTGGTTTGGGACGGCAGAGACTGAGGCTGCAGATAACTGTCTGTTTCTCCGACCACTCCCACTGGCAAGGAGTGACAGAAGGGGACAGTCATTTTACCCTTCTTTTAGTTTTCTCTTAATCAATTTGTATTTTTACTACTACTTTTTTGGGGGGGAGGCTTGGTGGTGCAGTGGTTAAGCGCTCAGCTGCGAACAGAAAGGCCAGCCGCGCCTCGGAGAAAGCTGGGGCAGTCTGCGCCCGTACAGGTTCACGGTCTGGAAACTACGGGACAGTTCTACTGCCTTTTACAGGTCGCCGGGAGTTAGAGATGACCTGGTGGCCACGGGCTTGATTTTGGTTTTAGTATTATTTTTTAAGTCAAGTTTTTTGACGCATAATTTACACAATGCAGTTCACCCTTTAGTGATGTACAGTTCTATGCATTTTGACAAATGTGTGCAGAGTTATTACCACCCAAAGGAGCAAGCTACAGATTACTTCTGCCCCACCCCAAAAGTCCTCTCAGGGCAGAGGGACACTTGGGGAGAGAGGCAGGGGGACACAGGGCAGGGAGGCGCGCTAATGCGCGTCCAGAAGGGTGTCTGTTGTGTCAGGACATCTTTGTACCTCACTCAGTAGCAAGACCAACATTCACGTGAGGCAGGCCATGCAAATGAGACCCTCTCTTCATTTTAAAATGTGATGCTTTATTCACTTATGAAGGTTTGATATTCATTTTGAGTTTCAAAATTGTTACACTAAAATGCTATTTAAAAAAAATATATATATATATAGGCTGTTGAGTTTATTGGTGTCTCTTTAAATTTTGCACCCTGGGTAAATGCCTCCTTTGCCTCACCCTCGTTGTGCCCCTGCTCTGAGGACAGGGCACTTGCCCGGGTGCAGAAGGGAAGGGGGAACAGACAGCGGGGAGAGAACAGGTTGTGCTGGCCCCTCAACACTCTGCTTTTCCTGACCTTTTGGCCCTCCCTGTGCCTGCTCCTGTGGGGCCCAGGGAAGAAGGGGAGTGTACTATCAGTGTTAACTAAGGACTCTGGATCCTCTCATGCTCCCTGAGCAAGCGTGGGACCCCTTTTCCCACTTCGGGTTCCAAGGGCTTTATTTCACTCGTGTATCTCACGCAGGCCCACCTGTACCAAGACCTTCTCCACCCCCCACCCTGACCCCCTCAGGCACGCAGACTGGCAAATTCAGGATCAGTGCAGAGAGGGCGGTGAGAAGGGGTGAGGCTGCGGGATCAGTGGAGTCTGGGGGCTGAGGCCTGGGAAACAGGGCGCTGCTCAGTAAATGGAGAAGGCTCATGCAGGAGACAAGAGATTGGGTAGTTCTGGGGGCTCAAAGAGCTCACGCCTGATGGTCCCAGATCTAGGATGGCCTAGGCTTTATTATTTTTCATATATTTAAAGCCGTTGTCATCATTGGGAGCCCTCAGTTCATTTTCAGCTCATAGCAATCCCAGGTTGACACCGTGGCACTGCCCCTTGGGGGTTTCCAGGCTGTAATAGATAAATAGAAGGTCCAGGAAGCCAACAGCCGGGGTCTTTCTCCCGAGGAACCACTGGATGGGTTTGAACTGCCATCCTTTCTGTTAGCTGCCGAATGCTTAACCCTTTGTGCACCAGCACTTCTTTTACCAATGTTTAAAAATCCTGAGAATCCTAGTAGCGATCTAGAACCCTGGCTTCTTCAGGCCCCTGGCCCCCTGAAAACAGGGAACTCGGAAAGAACTCTTGTATTCCTGCAGAGCAACAACTAACTCAACCAAGTTGCTCTTTTCCGTAGACCTCGGTCTACCCGCCCGCATCTTTCCTGCTTAAGTTACCTGCTTGCCCCTTTGTCGTCTACAACTGAGCTACCCAGGGCTGAGGGAGCCACCAGCTAACCACACAGGGCGGCTGAGCTCTTGAAATGTGGCTGGTCTCCATGAGATGGACTGTCCAGGTAACATTTACACTAGGTTTCAGAGGGCATCAAAAAGAGAGAGCCAGTAAACATCTTCATCATTATTCTTAAAACACCGATTAAATGTTGAAATGATCTTGTTTTTGATAGTTTGGGGCAACTTAAAATATATCCTTCAAATTCATCTCCTGTTTTGACTTTTTTCAGAGTGACTGCTGGAAAATGTAAACGTATGTATGCAAGTCATATTGTATTTCTGTTCTAGAGCCTGAAGTGGGAGGGGACAGGCAGGAAAGGCAAGCATGGGCTGGACCCCAAAAGAGGGCTTATAACCTGATGGTTAACGATGAGAGTCACTGATGGATATTCCAGACCCAGATCTGCTCCTTCCTTGCTGGGCTGTCTTTGGGGAAAGTTACTTCTTCGAACCCTTGGTTTCATCATTTGGAAATGGAGATACGGATAATAGATAGCACCTAGCCACAGGATTGCTACTGTTGGTAGACAGTTGGGACTCACTAAAGGATAAAGACCAGTTATTGTCAAGCTGAGCAGAGCTATGCTCCATCGGGTTTTCAATGGTGGAGATTTTGGAAGTAGATTGCCAGGCCTTTCCTCCAAGGTGCCTCTAGGTGGATTTAAATGACCAACTGGGCAGGCAAGCACGTTCACTGTTTGCAACACCCTGGTGAATTTGGATTTGCGTCTCAGAGAACCAGCCCAGCGCTGATGAGTTGCAAGCTGTGAGGTGATGTATGTTTCAGGAAGGGTTCTCGGGAGCAGAACAGCGGAACGAAAGTGACTGCAGAATTCAGGCAGGAGAGGAGCTCGTTGTCTGCGAGCATGCCGACAGGTGGAGAGGTGGCTGGATTCCAGGCATATTCCGGGCCCTTGCATAGTGCCTGGCACATCCCTCCCTGCCCTGGAGTTGACTCTGACTCATTGTGACGCTGTAGGGCAGAGTAGAACTGCCCCTGTGGGCTCCTAAGACTGCAGCTCTTTATGGGAGTAGAAAGCAGAGCGGCTGGTGGTCTTGAACTGCTGACTTTGAGGTTAACAGTCCACCACATAACCATCATGCCACCAGGGCTGCCCGGCATGTAGGTGCTCAGAAAGAAACTGCCAGATGGCACGAAGGCTGGTAGTGCTGCCTTGGAAGCCACAGTTTTGGGTGGCTCTTGGACCTCTGCCCACTAGTTGCAGGATCTCAACCACACTCCTTTATCTCCTTGGGCTGTAGTTTATTCATCTGCAAATTGGGAATAAGGACTTTGGCCTCCTCAAGGCTTGATTTTCGGATTCAGCGAGGTTGTCAACGTAAGCACATGGTGCCCTGTTGCTCCACGTACACGGTTGTTGTCACTCCCAGTGACCCTACAGGACAGAGTCTCCAAGAGATTCTCCTGTCCCCCAAGGAGCGGCTGGCTGCTTCGAACCACTGCAGCTGAGCACTTAACCATGGTGCCAACAGGCTCTAAGCACCTCAGGAATTGTTCGCCCCAGGCCGCCCTCCCCCCGACTTAATCTTTCTACGGGGCCTTCTTTACCAAGGCCCTCGTTCCCTGGAAAGAAGAGAGAGCTGAAACATTTCTCTGGGGAGGCCAAACCTCAAAGCCCAGCTCACTGCCCAGTACCTGTGGTTAGCAGTCAGTCCGGTGTTGAAGCCACGTCGCCACTAGGGTTCTTTCTGAGGAAGCACCTGCCCCAGGAGTCTATTTCCTAGGTGGGTCCTAGGAAATTAGCTTCTCAGGCTCCCTTTTCCGCTCTTCCTTCATAGGACACTGTGTGTCATGGGGCGAGAGAGAAGTCTTGGTTTTCTGTAGCACCTGAGTCACTTGGCAGGAAGGAGGCCACGGCTGGAGGCCTCGTGGGGCCATATATTCTCCGGATCCCAGGGCTTTGGGAGAGGTGGAGATCATGGGTGGGAAGAGGGGACACCTTGTGATGGCCCCAGGAGGCCTGCTCCACACCTCAAACTCCCATTTCCTCATTTTACCTCCTTCTGATTGCACACGCTCCCACCCACGCTAACACTTGGCCGAAGATGTTGTGAGTTTTCCTAGGGAGCCATCCTGCTCAGTGAAGGCAGGGGCACATGGATTTAAGACGCAGACAGCTCTGGGGTCCAGTTTCCACCACGGAGTGGACTTGGACGTGCACTTTAATCTATGTGCTTCAGCTCCTTTGTTTGTAGAGCAGGGAAAATGGTCCCTCCCCCAAAGGTCCTGGGATACTGACGTCGGAGGGGAGCTTGGCACCCAGCTCCCAGTACAAACTTCACCCACACAAACTTCACCCACACGTTCCTTTCCCCCCTGGCCTGGCTGGTGTCTCTGTCCTGTGGTCCCTTGCTCAGTGTCTTCTCTCTCCCTTGCCCTACAGTCCCCATCCCCTCCAAAGCAAGCAGCCTCTCGAGCCTGGCATTGGCCAAAGACAGTCTGATTGGTGGCATCACAAACCCCAGTGAGGTCTTCTGCTCCGTGCCCGGCCGGCTCTCACTGCTCAGCTCCACATCCAAGTACAAGGTGACGGTGGGGGAGGTGCAGCGGCGACTCTCGCCTCCTGAGTGCCTCAACGCCTCCCTCCTGGGGGGCGTCCTCCGCAGGTAGGAAGTCCAGCCCACGAATCCCTGCACAGCACCCAGGTCCATGTCCCTGGTCTTGAACCTTCTCAGTGGGTTAAGTTCTCTTCCCAGTCTCACCCCAGGCCACAGTATCGTCTCTTGCCCCCTGGGGAAGGAGGGCAGATATTAAGACATAAGATTCTACATGCTCTGGGGGCAGGCCCAGGTCGCTGGCAGCTCCCACAGGTCGGTGGGTTGAAGGATGGTGGTGGGAGGCTGACGAGAAACAGCCTGGACACAGAGAAGGGATGGAAGACCACCCACATTGGGAAGGATGGGCAAGGCTGACTGGGGAAGAGAGGCTGTCATCTTCACCCTTTCCCCCAGGACAGGGCCCCCCCAAAACCCAGAACTATTCCCCATGGCCATCTAGGCCTCTGTGTGGGTTGGGTGGCACAGCATGGGGGTTCATGGGTTGTTTTCATAGCTGTGTCTCTCTTCACATGTCCTGTGTCTGTGCAGGGTGTTACTGCTTTGGGGCTGTGAGCTGTGATGTGTCTGAAGATGGTGTGTGTGTGTGTATGTGTGCATGTGTGTGCGCATTTGAAGCTAGATATATGTATGTGTGCCAGTCTTTGCATTTGTGCAGTTGTTGGATTATCTCCTTGAGCATCTGTACACACGACCCTGGGACCCTGTGCCGATGTGAACATACGGTGACTATGTCTGTGCCCCCCGGTCCCTGGGTGTGTGAGCTTCTCTACTGTCTGTGTGTCTACGTCTGTCTGTCTCTACAAGTGTGATTGTGTCTCTGTAATCTGGGCCCTCTGCGTGTGTTTACCTGCCTGTCTGTGTGTCCCTGGGTACCTGTGAATGTCCCTGTCTCCCTTTGTGTCTGTCTGCAGGTCCATGTGTCTCGGTTTACGTCTGTTTGTCCCTGGGTAGCCGTGAGGAATAACCCAAAGAGGCTGGTCCACTGCGCCCTACCCTGAGCTGACCCAGCTGTTGAGAGGGCTGGGCAGAAACTCCTGAAGGGTGTCGGGTGTCTCCTCTCCCTCCATCTTGGCTCCAGGACCAGGTGATTAGGAAGGTTGGGGCCATGCTGAAAGAGGGTCTGTCCGTCTCAGACCCAAACCTCCAACGGAGCTGGTGGGGACAGCAAGTTCAGGGAGGCTCTCTTAGCCCACATGCTTCTCTCTTGTCTTCATAGTTGTGTGTGTGTCTCTCTGTGTATGTCAAGGGCTAAGTCAAAGAATGGGGGCCGGTGCCTGCGGGAACGGCTGGAGAAGATTGGGCTCAACCTGCCAGCAGGCCGGCGCAAGGCTGCCAATGTGACGCTGCTGACTTCCCTGGTGGAGGGTGAGTGAGGCCTGAGAGCGGCGTGCCATCCTGTGTGTGGCCGTCTCTTAGGCATGAGGGCATGTTCATGTGAATGTCTGTGCTGTCTGCACCTGTACTTGATGTATCGTCGCATATTAAAAAGGCGCATGGTAGAAAGAAAATGTTTTGGAAATGATGATGGCAACATATGTACAAATATATTTGACACGATTGATGTATGGATTGTGATAAGTGGAAAGGAGAAGCCCGTGTTTGGAGGTGGTAAGGGACAGACGACTGATGATAGAACCCCTTTCCCGGGGAATTGGTGAATCTGGACTTGTGTCAGGGCTGGGTAATCTGCCACTGCTGAGCTCAGAGGCCATGCTGTTTTTTAGTAGTTTTCTTGATATAATACTCATATATCATATACTTCCATAGTTAAGTTGCTTTTTAAAAGAGTTAAATGTACAACATCACAATCATTTCTAGTGCCCCCCTCCCCGTATTCATTGTTTGCTCCCAATTCCCCTCACCCTCCCACTCCCATCCACTTATTGCATCAGAGCCCAGTCTTGATGGGCCCAAGTAGGGGGCAATGGAATTGGAGCTGGAGCTGGGGGGTGGGGGGGGCCAGGTAGGGGGAAACAGGGGAAGGCATCGATCTACAGAAGCAGACAGCTCATCTCTGCCCCCTCACCCCCAGGAGAGGCCGTGCACCTGGCCCGAGACTTCGGCTATGTGTGTGAGACTGAGTTCCCAGCCAAGGCAGCCGCTGAGTACGTGTGCCGACAGCATGCCGACCCTGGGGAACTGCACAGCCGCAAGAACATGCTGCTGGCAGCCAAGTGAGTAAGGGTGCCGTGCATGGGCATGCACACTGGGTTCCATGCACGAGCCGCCATGGGTGCTGGGCACAGGCATAGACACCGACCATGGGCCCGGTGGACACCACTCATGAGCACAGGGTACATGTGGCACCACGTATAGGCATGTGCGGCACCATACACGGGCACAACTGGGCTCTGTGCTTAGTTTGGCACACAAAAGGCACTCGGGTGGCCCCTGTGCATTCTGCAGGCCCACATGGGCACCACAAGTGGTACATTTGAGGGACCGTACCCATGGTACTTAGTTATACATGGGTGTCCTCCACCGCACATAGAGGAGCCCAGGACATTTCTAGGCCCCATGCGTCTGCATACAGTGTCGCATACATGCTTCTGTGTGGGTACTACACTCATTCCCTGCCCCATGGTACCATATGCCTCCATCCCACTGTGAGTCGGAGGTGCTGTGGTCTGATTCTCTCTATACGAATCTTGCCCAGCGGCCCCTGTGGACTTCAGCACCTACCCAGGCCGACCCTCCCTGCCCTTTGTCCACACCAGATCCCTTTGCAAGTCCTGATGGTGCCGCCGCCGCCGCCCCCACCGCTCTCATGCTGCCACCCCAACTCAGGCCTTTCCTCTCGTCCAGGCTGGAATTCATCCCAGGACACCCCCTCCCTGCCACTGCTCCCTGCCCCAACCTCTTCAGTGGCTTCCAGTGTTACTGCATTGACTTTGCAAACGAGTGGGTGTCTCCGACCCGCCTTAAAGACTGATATTCCAGAAACATTTGGTGCTTTAGAAAGGTTTCCATTGACAAGTAAAGAGGGAGGGAGGAAAGGAAGGAGCTTTGAAAATCACTAACTTCTGAGATAAAATGCAAATGGTTTGGAGGGTTCCACACCTGACCCTACACACCCCAGCCCTCCTCCTGCTCTAACCCCCTCTCCTGTCCAAACATCTGCGGGCCTGCTTTTTTGCTTGGACCGCCTGCTACCCAGTGCCCAGTGAATGCAGTTCATGTCCCCCTTCAAACCACAGCTCCACCCTGCCCCATCGAGGCTTTCTTCAAGTACCCTAGGCAGAAGAGGAGTCACAGGCTCCAGGGACAATCAAAGGCAGAGACCTTTAGGCTGCTCCTGCTGTAGTGGGCGGACATTGGCTCATTCAGTAGCCTTTCCTGCGTTTCTGCGTATCTAAGATGATCGGGTCCCCTATACAGGACACACCGAGAAATGAGTCCTGGGTCCACCAACTGGAGCTGGACTCGTCCCTTAGGCAGGCTGTCTAACTTTTTGGAAGCCAGCTTCCTATTTCTAGGATAGGGATCCAGTCCTCAGTGTGTGCTGCTGGCTATTCCTTAGTTATCCGAAGCAGATCCGAATTGCTCTCTGTGATTTCAAGTATCAAGCTCTGTGGAGCGTTGGGTGTTTGGGATGGGGAAGCAGAGAGGAGAGGGGAACAAGGAGAGATGCCTGGAGCTTTCAGCTGGACCCTGAGTATGGACAGGACTTCAACAAGGAGAGTCCCTGGGTGGCACAAACGATTGGAACTAAGAGGTCCCTGGTGGTGCAGCCATGTAGCGCTTGGCTGCTAGCATCAAGCTTGGTGGTTTGCACTCACCCGGTAGGTCTGTGGGAGAGAAGACCTGTTGATTTGGGTCTGTAAAGATTACAGTCTCCAAAACCTCAAGGGCAGGTCTACTCGACACATGGGGTCCTCATGAGCCAAAATCGATTTGACACCTCACAGCGGCAACACTTAGCAAGCAGTTGTTGGTTAAGACCTATCCGGAAGCACTGTGGAAGAAAGGCCTGACTACCTGCTTCCACCAAGCGTTTTCCAAGGAGACCCTATGGAGTCCAGTTCTGCTTTGACATACAGGATCACCAGGGGTCAGAATGAACTATATCAGGGGCTCGGCTTTTTCTTTTTTTGTTTTATTAGGGGCTCATACAACTCATCACAATCCATACACACATCAATTGTGTAAAGCACATTTGTACATTCATTGCCCTCATCATTCTCAAAACATTTCCTCTCCACTAAGCCACCGGCATTAGGTCCTCATTTTCCCCCTCCCTCCCCGCTCCTCCCTCCCTCATGAGCCCTTGATAATTTATAAATTATTATTTTGTCATATCTTGCCCTGTCCGGCATCTCCCTTCACCCACTTTTCGGTTGTCTGTCCCCCAGGGAGGAGGTCACATATAGTTCCTTGTAATTGGTTCCCTCTTTCCAACCCACTCTCCCTCCATCCTCCCAGCATCTCCACTCACACCACTGGTCCCAAAGGGATCATCCGCCTGGAATTCCCTGTGCTTCCAGTTCCCATCCGTACCAGTGTACATCCTCCGGTCCAGCCAGACCCACAAGGTAGAATTCGGATCATGATAGTGGGGGTGGGGAGGAAGCATTCAGGAACCAGAGGAAAGTTGCATCTTCCATTGCTGCTACATCACACCGACTGGCTCCTCTCCTCCCCGAGACCCCTCTGCAAGGGGATCTCCAGTGGCCTACTAATGGGCTTTGGGTCTCCACTTCGCACTCCCCCCATCATTCATGATGGTAAGATTTTTTGTTCTGATGATGCCTGATACCTGATCCCTTCAACACCTCGTGATCGCACAGGCTGGTGTGCTTCTTCCACGTGGGCTCCGTCGCTTCTGAGCTTGATGGCCGCTTGATTACCTTCAAGCCTTCAAGACCCCAGACGGGCTCGGCCTTTTCAACAAGGCGAGCGATCATAGGGTATTAGCTCCAACGTGCTCCTAGCTTTATTGGGACAAAGAGGAGGCTATTGGGCGACACTCTGTGAACCTTAATTTCTTTTCTGTAAGAAGGTGTGTGATCATCATTTGCAGGCTGTGGGAGTCAGCCATCATCTATGTATATAAACTGCTCAGACTTGTCTTCTAACCTCTGACCCTCTCCCCACGCCAGGCAGATCTGCAAGGAGTTTGCGGACTTGATGGCTCAGGACCGCTCACCTCTGGGTAACAGCCGCCCCGCCCTCATCCTGGAGCCCGGGGTGCAGAGCTGCCTGACACACTTTAGCCTCATCACGCACGGCTTTGGAGGGCCGGCCATCTGCGCTGCCCTCACTGCCTTCCAGAACTACCTGCTGGAGTCTCTCAAGGGGCTGGACAAGATGTTCCTCAGCAGTGCAGGCAGCGGGCACACCGACACCAAGGCTTTGGAAAAGGATGCCAAGCATCGGAAATAACCACTTCCCCTACTCATCCTTCGGGCTTCCCCAAGCCTGGGGGTGGGCAGAAATGGGGCTGAGGTCAGACCAGGAAGAGAATATTTGTCCAGAGGCCTGAGTGAGGGGTCTGGGTTGGCGCCGAGAAGGTGGTCTCTGTAGTGGTTTGTTGGTTATGGGCCCAGGTGTTGGCCTCACATGTGCAATTTCCTGACTTTGATTGCTGAGCAGGGCTTGTGAGCAGGGAGTTGCCACGGGGCAGGCAGAGAGAGCCCTGCCCATTAGCATGCTGGAGCAGCAGCGGGCACTCCTAGCGGCTGGTATTGACCAATGGCAAGAGGGAAAGTGTTAACAAATCAGGTGCTATTAAGGGAGTAGCCTCCTCATTTCCAGGCCCCCTGCTCCAGAAAAGGGGTGCTGGTGGGAAGCCCCGGGACTCTTAGGACCCCACCCATTCTTGGAAAGAAGTGGGTCGGAGGGGACCTCAAGGAACAAAGAAGATGAAGCACAAACTGCAGAACTTGAATCCAGGCTGCTTTTCACAGTCCTGCTGCTGTCTGTCCTGTTTATTTATATGTTGTAATTAAACCAGAAAGTTTGAGTGTCCAGTGCAACTTATTTATCCCAATGAGTTGGCAATGTTTGTTTCACTGTTTCCTGCGCATGTCCAAGATGTCCAGTTGGACCAGGACAGGACGTTTTTTCTTGCAAAGGGTTGTGGGTGGGCTGGGAGGGGAGGAAGGCGTAGCTGGCACCTTGAAGTCACTGCGATTTTGTACTTGCTGTTGTTTCCCTCGACCCTGCAGTTGATGTCCCTCCCCAGCTCTCAGACTGCTTTTTCATTCTCTTAATAAAACCTCGTCATTGCTATGAAGCCCTCCTTGTCCTTCTTCAGCTCAGACTGGCCTCCTAAGAGGGCAAGGGCACTGGGGGAAGAGCAGGGCATGGGAATGAGGGTGGCGATGGGAGGGAACCTCTAAGGAAAAGCTCAGTGGGCCTCTCTGTGAGAAGGGTGGAGATGTCAGTGGGTGTCTGGACTGTCAGCATGGCTATTCTCTGTGCAGTGAATCCTGGTGGGTCTGTATGTGTAGCAGATATTGGATGATGGGTCTGTGTGTCAATGTGTCCATTTGGCTGTTAAGTTTGTGTATTCTGTTGGTTCTTGATGTGGGTTGTTTTCATCAAACGCACACTACAATGTTCAAGGGGGGAAGGAGAGGATTGGTTGAATAAGGAGTGCTGGTGACTGTGGGGGCATGGACAGGGTGACAACCCAGTCTGCGCACCTGTCTTCTTGAGTTCACTCTTCAGGCATCTTTTTCCTTCATCATCAGCCTCTCTCTCTACTGAACCATCTACTAGGTCATTCCCCAAAGCACACATGTTCTAAAACCTTATTTTTAAAAATATTTTCATCAAGGCCCACTTAAAGGATAGCCTCCCCAAACCTGAGACCAGAACTATATGCTGCCTGGCTACCATTACCAGTGGTTCTGACCAAGACTACAGTAGAAAGTCCTGGTTAGAGTAGGTTGAAAGATGTAGAACAAAATTGATATTCAGTAAAAAGGGCAGACTTACTGGTCTGACAGAGACTGGAGGGATTCCCAACATGATTTCCCTACGGACAACCTTCAAACTTGGAACTAAAGCCACACCTGGAGATCATCTTTCAGCCAAGTAACAGGCTGGTGCACAGAATCACCACCACCCGGCTACCCAAGAGGAATGTGCCCTGGAGAACAACCAACCGTGATACCAAAAGGGCAACATCTGTCCCAAACAAAGAGGGGAGGGTAGAGGGGGCCATGGGAACTGGACAAATGGAAACAGGGAACCCAGGGTGGACATGGAGAGAGTGCTGAAACATTAAAGATTGTGGCAATCACAACGTCACTGGACTATTTTGTGTATGAGCTATTGAAGGAAAAATGAGTTGGCTATGCGAACCTTCATCTAATGCACACTAACAGGTGCAAGGGGCTGGGAGGAAAGGACTTAATGAGATAACCCATAGCATGGTGCCTGGTCATTATTAAACTTTCAATAAACGATAGTCTGCCCAATGATAGCTTATAATTTATCAAAGGTTCACAAGGGTGGGAGGAGAGGGGGAGGGAGGGGAAAAAAGAACTGATACCAAGAGCTCAAGTAGAAAAAAAAATCTTGAAAAGGATGGCAATATACATACAAATGTGCTTAATACAACTGAAATATGGATTGTTGTAAGAGCCCCCAATAAAATGATTTATTAAAAAATACAGATTTAAGACATATTTGGGGAAAAATAAGTATTAGTTTCCCATTTTAGCCTGGCGTCCATCCTCACCAGTCCACCGAATCCACCCAGCAAGGTCATCAATACCGGTGACGCCACCCACAAGAGCCCTTTCTCCGGACTTGACAGCGGTCTTTGACACAGCTGACCACTGCTCTTCTGTCCGCCTTTCCGTGGTTCCTAACTTCTGATCTCTTACATTATTGGTGCAGTCTCCTCCTCTGCCTCACCTCTTAAATGGTAGCCTTCCTCTTCTCTGTCCACTCTCTCCCAAGCTGGTGTCGGTCAGCCCCGCTGCTTTCAGAAGCATCTATGCTGCTGGCCATCTACGAAGCCTCCAGGTGGCAAAAGCAGTCAAGCGCTTGACTTGCTGGAAGGCTGGTCCTTTAGGCCCCCCCAAAGGTGCCTTGGAAACCCCATGGAGCAGTTCTATGTACACACATTGGGGTCACCATGAGTTGGAATGAATAAGAACTGAGTTTTTTATCTTCAGCTCAGACTTCTCCCTGAACTCTAGGCTGGAAGATACTGACTCATCTGCCTGAGGTCACTACTGAGTTATCTAATAGGCACCTCAAAGTTATGGCCAAAACGAAGTGTTTGTCTTACCTCTCTCAAACCTTTACCTCCTTGAGTTTCCCATCTCAGTACATCATACCACCTTCAACCCAGTTGCTCAAGCCAATAATCACAGTCTTATTTGGTTCTTTCTCTACATTGAATCCGTCAGAATCCTTTTGACTACATCCAACCTTCTCTATTGTCACTGCCACTAGCCTAGTCCTCAAGTTCATTTTCACTGATCCACCTTAACCCGCAATGCTGCAACGATCTGGACTCTTTACCTTCCTCTGAAGCCATTCTCTTCTTCACTCACTTTGCTCCAGCCCCACAGCCTTCCTTTCTGTCCCCCCACCCCCATCACATTGTCTTTTGCCTTAGGACCATTGCACTCATTGTTCTTTGCCAAGAATGCTTCCCCTCAGTTCTGTGCAGATGTGCTGTGGGATAGATGTTGGATGTAGGGCAGAAGTTGGAGTGCTTTGCAGAAGTGAAGGTGTGCTAGGTACCTGGGCTCGAGGTATCATCCTCCAAGGTAAGGGTCCAAAGATCTGATTCTTCTTCCAAGAAATCAGATATGAAGAGAGGAATGGGTGATGTGAGAGGAGGTTGGAACTATGTCCCGCTTTAACCAAAGCCCAGAGTCTGGTAAGAGATATTCTACCAATAAAATTATCTTAGACTATGGGAAGTTGCACAAATTTTTGCTAAAGATCACCGAACAATGGTTGTAGCAGTACATGGGCAGGGAACTGCCAGAAGTTCACGATGGATTCACAAGAGGACTTGGAACAAGGGATATCATTGCTGATGTTAGATGGATCTTGGCTGAAAGCAGAGAATACTCGAAAGACGTTTACTTGTGTTTGTTTGATTATGCAAAGGTATTAAACTGTGTGAACCATAATACATTGTGGATGACCTTGAGAAGAGTGGACATTCCACAACACTTCATTGTGCTCATAAGAAGCATGTACACAGATCAAGAGGCAGTTGTTTCAGTGGAACAAAGGCATACTGCCTGGTTTAGAATTAGAAAAGCTGTGTGTCGGGGCTGTATCCTCTCACCATACTTGTTGAATCTGTGTGCTGAGCAAATCATCAGAGAAGCTGGAATCTATGAAAAACAATCTGACATTAGGATTGAAGAATGCATTAACAAAATCGTGCATGCTGAAAGTGAGGGGGAATTGAAGCACTTGCTGCTGATGATCAAGAATTGTAGCCTTAGACAAATGTGTGCATAAGCAAATGTGGTGAAGAAAGCTGATGGTGCTGAGCTATCAAAAGATATAGCATCTGGGGTCTTAAAGACTTGATGGTAAACAAACGGCCATCTAGCTCAGAAGCAACAAAGCCCACATGGAAGTAGCACACCAGCCTGTGTGACCACGAGGTGTCGAAGGGATCAGGTATCAGGCATCAAAGAACAAAAAAATCTTATCATTGTGAATAAGGGGGAGTACACATTGGGGACCCAAACCCATCAGTAGGCAATTGGACTTCCCCTTACAGAAGGGTCGCGGGGAGAAGATGAGCCGGTCAGAGTGCAGTAGCAACGATGAAACATACAACTTTCCTCTGGTTCTTTAATGCTTCCTCCCCTCCTCCCACTATCATGATCCCAATTCTACCTTACAAATCTGGCTAGACCAGAGGATGTACACTGGTACAGATAGGAACTGGAAACATAGGGAATCCAGAACAGAGGATCCCTTCAGGCCATGATGGGAGGGTGGAGGGAAGGTGGGGTAGAAAGGGGAAACCGATTAAAAGGATCTACATATAACCTCCTCCCTGGGGGACGGACAACAGAAAAGTGGGTGAAGGGAGACGTCTGACAGTGTAAGATATGACAAAATGATAATTTATAAATTATCAAGGGTTCATGAGGGAGGGGGGAACAGCGAGGGAGGGGAAAAATGAGCTGATACCAAGGGCTCAAGTAGAAAGCAAATGTTTTGAGGATGAGGGCAACTAAAGTGCTTGACACAATGGATGTATGCATGGATTGTGATAAGAGTTGTACGAGACCCCCCATAAAATGATTTGATTAAAAAAAGTTTTAAAAAAAAAGACAAATGTTTTGAGAATGATGAGGGTAACAAATGTACAAAATGTGCTTTACACAATGGATGGATGTATGGATTGTGATGAGTTGTATGAGCTCCCAATAAAATGATTTAAAAAAAAGAAAATGTTGATGGCAACATAGGTACAAGTGCCCTTATTATTATGATTATTGAAAAATGGATTGTTATAGGATGTATAAGAGCCCCCCAATAAAATGAGTAATTAAAAAAAAAGAATTGTAGCCTTCAGTATTGGTAACATCATGATAAATGGAGAAAAAGTTGAAGTTGTCAAAAGATTTTGTCTTGCTTGGCTCAGCAACCAATGATCATAGAGGCAGCAGTCAAGAGATCAAAAGACGTGTTACATTAGGTAACTCTGCTGCACAAGACTTCTTTAGAGTATTAAAGAGCAAGGAAGTTACTTTGAGGACCAAGGTGCATCTGTCCCAAGTCATGGTACGCTCCATTACACCATATACTTGTGAAAGCCAGCTATTGAATAAGGAGGACCGTGGAAGAGCCCAGGCATGTGAACGGTGGTGCTGGAGAAGAATACTGAAAGTCCCATGGGCTGCTCAAAGGACAAACCCATCTGTCTTGGAAGAAGGAAGGCCAGAGTGCTCCTTAGAGGTAAGGATGGCAAGACTTCGTCTTACATCCTATGGACCTGTTATCAGGAGACAGCAGTCCCTGGAGAAGGACATCGTATTTGGTAAAGTGGAAGGGCAGCAAACAAGATCACCCATGAGGTGGACGGACACCGTGGCTGCATGAAGGGGCTCAGGCAGAGGAAGCATTGTGAGGGTGGTGCAGGGCCGGGCAGGGCTTGGCTGTTGTGTGTAGGGTTGCGATGGGTCGCAGCTGACTCGATGAGACCTAACGGTGTGAGGGGATTATATGAGAAAATAGACATTTTGACAATCCATAACCCATAGTGGGGCAGCAATAAATGGTGGTAAATATCCTTAAGGTGAGCAAGTAAGAAATGAGCTTACTAATAACTTGTTCCCCCAAACCAATGGGCGCACGTTGTTAACCTCTCAACACCGAAGTATAAAAACCAAGTAAGATACCTTAGACATTTGTCAACATAAGTTCAACTGATCAGATGGTGGCAGTCTTCCACTGGCATGGCAGAATGCTGGTGAACCTAGGTGAATGCTATGTGAGGGCTGTCACAAGGGAGGCTCCGTACAGCTTGGTTCTTCTCCAATGTCTTCTCTTGGAGTTGTACTTGATTACCAATTTTCATCTGAATCTATTTATTGGACTGTGGGGTGATTCTGCTTTTGTTTCTTGGCCAGGAATCCCTTGATCCTGAAAGTCTCATAAGGCATTGTGAAAGAAGGCAGAAGCACTCAGGCTGGTGGAGAAACAAAGCTTACCAAGGACTTCGTGTTGTTCAACAACTCTCCCTCAATAGCATGTTGTCCTCACCAAGTCCCATCTTATTAGACGTAAAGGAACTGTAGCTTGGAAGGGACTTGCCCTCAGTCACTTGGCGAGTCACCAGATCCCTTCAATTCCACTGGCTTTCTCTGCAGTGGCTCACAGCCTGGATGGACCCCAGTGAAGGGCAGCACGCAGCCCGAGCGCCCGGGCTCCAGGGTTCTGCTAGTCCGGCATAGGGTCACGGAGCAGTAGTGTGCACACCAGGGGGGCATGAGCAGCAGCTAGTAAGATCTTAGCATTTGGTTCTTCCCGTTGCATTTTTTAGTTGTTTCTTCCCCATTGTTTTAGCCTACAACTAGGTGGCTTTAGCCCTAATGGACAGTAGATAATTAAAAATAAATGATGATGATTTTTTTTTCTTTTTTTGCATAGCAAGTAGCTGCGAATCAGATGGAGATTATCTGCGGTAGGTAAGCATTGTGCCTTTTAAACTGTGGGGCTTGAGAGTTTATACTAACTTAAGGAAAATAGTTCCCTACTTTCTTTTACAGGACCAGTGTTCCAGGAAAAATAAGAAAGGGCAGCCTTCGAAACTCTTCCCTCCCTCAAACCTCAGGAAGGCAGTCAAGTTGTAGGTTCTCCTCCCAAACATACATACACACATAATAGTCACACACACACACACACAACTCAGAAGACTCCTGCCAGGCACTGTGGCTGCTGCAGTCAAAGGACCCAGGTGAGGAAACACAGTGAAAGGTGCTGGGTTTCCGGCAGCAGCCCAGACTCAGCAGTGCATAGCTGGCAACATCAAGAGCTTCTCAAGCCGTTGCCACACTCTTCCCCCCTTGGAGGTTCAGGTCGACCTTTCCCTACTCAGAACCGCACTCCCCTACCCTGAGGCGAAACATCTGCTCTTCTCCGGTCCACCCCCTTATCCTGGGAGAGGGTTGAGTTGTTTTCTGGGTATGAATCACCTGAAAGCACATGGGGACCAATCACAAGGCCATTCTGAGCAGCGTCTGGCTGGGAGAGGTAAAGACTCCATGCATTCCCGGTGGTTTGTTCTGTCAGGAAAGCAGTGAAGGGCATTTGAAAAGGTAAAATGCAGTAGAAGAAACTACGTCAGAATGCATCGACAGCATCGTGAGTCAACAGATGTTTACACACACACACACACACACACACACGACTGGAAGCAAGGTTTCGCAGAGCCATGGCTGCAGAGATGTGAAGTCCTGAGTGTATGTGGAGGCCCCGGCTGCCTGGCTGGTTCCAGGGCCTTGTGAGGTGTACAGGATCACTGGAGATTGAGGAGCTGCGCTGCAGAGAATGAGGAAACGCTCTGCTTTTCAAGCCCCAAATCTGGGCTGTAGTCTGAGCAATGGAGAACTTCCAGAACATTTGAAGTGGGATGAATGGAGGAGCATATTGGTTCTGAGAGTTCAGAGAAAGGGCTGGAGAGCGAGAACATGATTGGTGGACAAGCTAAGAGGCTGTTAAAATAGTCCAAGAAAGGCATGATGAGGGATGAGCCAGGAAAATGAGGATGGAGATTTAAAAGAAGCAGAAATGTCAGCACTCAGCAACTACGTGAGTACAGGCGATGAAGGCAGCAGTAAACACGATGCTGGGTTAGGAAATGCAGGGTGGTGGTCTCCTGGCCTGTATCCAAGAACAGAATGAGGGCTTAACAGGAGACCTAGTGGAATCTGAAAACTTTAGTTGGTTTCTTAATTCTGACAAATGCAAATGTTAAACATGAGGTGAAACAGAGAGAGAGAGAGAGAGAAGGAAAATGTATTATCGTTGCAACTTTTGAATCTTATTCATACTACATAGTGCTTGGGTTTCCGGCACGGCTAGGTGGGAGCTGGGTGGCTCTCATTCTCTAAGACTTAACACTGCAGAGGAGCAGTGGCTCTCTATCGTGACTGAAGGTAAGAATTACTTGGGAAGTTTAAAAAAAATAAAAAAATCCCTGATTAACCTCATGCTTAAGACCTGGAGTGCAGTCTAATTCTATACATTAGAAAAGCAAAGGCCCGAGGTGATACTGACATGCACCCGTCTGGTTTGGGGCCAGTTATAATGGCACCAACCAAAACATTTATATTCCCCAATAAACTAGGCTAGAAAATATGAGATACCTGGATAATGGAATATGGCACATCAATTTCATGGATCTGCAACTGTTAGTAAGAATAAGGCAGATACACAAATCTGTCTCACAAGTACAGCTAGAATGAGCTTTACAAAGGATGGCAAGACTTGGTCTCCCGTACTTAGACACGCTGTCAGGACAGAGTAGGGCCTGGAGAATGTTGTCGTTGGTCGGGGAGAGAAAGACCCTCAGAGATGGCCATACACAGTGGCTGCCACCACGGACTTGAGCATCGCCAGTCCTGTAAGGAGGACACAGGCCCTGGGCGATGGTTTGTTCTCCTGTACCTAGAGTCCCTGAGTCAGAACTGCGCTGATGGCACCCACAACCTCATGTACCGAGAGACTCGTCTCTAATACACTGTTAAAGGAAATGAAGCATGAGGACATTTAAATATCATTTTGAGAGGATATGTATGTATGTACACATATATACATGTTTGTAAGCATACAGATACAAACATTTTAATGCTTCATACATGAACAGAATATTTTTTAATGACAGACGAGAAATTAGTAGCTGTAGTGTCCTCTGGGAAGGGAAATGGGTGACCGGATTATAAGGAGAGGTGGAAGTACACGTATGACCTATTGAATAAATTAACTGAAAAGTTTTTAAAGCCTGGGGGAAAAAGAACCACTGCTTTAGAGGGAACCGGTTCTGTGGTAGCTGTCAGCTGCTAACAGGAATGAAGGAAAGGGCAGGAGGAGAGACGTCCTTTCCAAAAGACACAAGGACAATCCTCCCTCCAATCCTGCCTCAGGGGATGGGTAAACTGAGACGCAGACCACAGAGTTCAATGTATCCATATGCAGCTTTATTTGGAATTAGTCATCTATCAAGAGTGCATGTCAAAAGAGTAGAAAAAAAATAAAGGAACCCATCCAAAAAAGTCCCTGGCAAGTGGGGTGGAGGGCAGAGTGTTAGGATCCCTGTTTAGAGAAGGAAATGTTCTCCAGGTCATGGATGCCGTTTTTGTCGATGACCCGAACGCTGAAGGCTGGCAGATTCAGGATGAAGCGCTTCTGGAGCTGGAGAGAGAGAGGGAAGAGAAAGTCAACAAATATTTCCTGAGCATTAACTAGGTATCAAGGAGTCCTGGTGGCGCAGGAGTTCAAGTGCTCACCTGCCAAGACTGGGCGGCTTGTGGCAGTCAGCTTCCCTAAAGATCTGCCGCAGCCTTGGAAGCCCCAGAGGGTAGTCCCCCACTGTCCTAGGGGGCTGCTGTGAGTTAGAAAGAACCCCATGGCAACGGGGCTGGGGTTCTGGTTAACTATGGACCAGGCTCAGCTCGAGGCATTGGAGAAACACGCAGACAAAAATTCTAGATGGTAACTTATATTTGTATTAGAGAGAGAGAGAGAGCCTTGAAAAAAAGAGGAAATTCTAGATTTTGTGTAACTTCTATTCTATTAAGACCAGAGAGCACTGGGTCAGTGGACAAAGCCGACCATTGCAGGAGGCTGCCTGGAAAGTCATGGGCTTGCACTGGCAGGTACAGTTGGGGGTCTATCATGTCTGGTCAGTCATCTGATAGAAGAATGCCACTCCCAAGGTTTGTTCCCTTGACTCTTGCAAATAAAGTTTTCTTTCTTCAAATGTCTTCAGGTAATACAGTGGTTGCCCTAGGAAGAAACTTTGGATCAAAGCAGTCCACGCCTAAGCCCCAAGTAGCTTGCTTTAGTCACTCAGTCACATTATAAGGAGTCTCTCTGTAGGTGCAGTTGAGTGGTGGGGAGAGGGGTATAGCAGAACTGATTTGGGAAGAACCCCTGCTTCTGTCTGTCTCCTCCAGTGCAGCCTGATTTGTCATTAAAGTAACATCTCTGCACTGTTACGGTCTTTGCTTGAGAGGCTGCAGAAGCAGCACGCAAGCAGAACTCCTCACAACCCGGGGAACGAAGCTGGAGCGCAGCATTGCTTCTGTGGCTTCCCTTCTTGGACGTCTCTCTGAAAGCCTCTGGATAGAAGGCACCAGGCTTTCCTACTGTTCCCTTTGGAGCCAATCTCAGAAATGGTCACCTCCCCAGGCTTAAGGTCTCCTTCCCTCAATGTTTCCCATCTCCATCGCAGCTGACTGGGAAGCACTGCCCCATTCCATTTCCAGAGCCTTCTTTTGCCAATCTCCACTCTTAGAAACTAGCTCCAAGACCAGGGAAAGGTGGCAATCACGAGATAGGGGTTCCTAAATTACTCCACGTTAGGATCTAAGGGAAATAAAGTCTTTTTTAACAATTTTTTTTTTATTATTGGGGGGTGGGGTGTGTGTGTGTGTGTGTGTGTGATGGGGCTGGGGAGGGAAAGGTGGGAGGGTTGGGGTGGGGGGGATAAAGTCTTTAAAGCTCTTGATATACATGGCTTCTGCCTGACAGCCCCTTTTTACATTTGGAGCTTCCAGACTAATATGGTCCCTGAGCTGACTGGTTAAAGAAAGGGGTTTACAGGAAGAAGGGCAGGGTGATCGACAACCAACAGGTTTGTGTGAGAGTCAAACAGACATTATGTCTGATGCTTCCACTGCCTCCCATCCTTACCCAAAAGCCCAGGAACAGATGGGCTGGACAGCCTGGAAAATAATGGGCCTGCTTTCTGGTCTCTGCTTTCACACCCCCCGGTCTTGGATCTTTAGGTGTCACCCGAAACAGGGAGACCCTGTGCTCGTCCCTTCATAAACCAAGCTTCGAAATGGCTTTCCGTGCCCCTTGGGCCCTCGGGAGGGTAGTTTCCTCTCCAGATACAGGACTGTTAAAGGAGGAGACAGCACGTAATTCCAGGTGGCACAAGAACACAGAAGCCATGAAGCCTGGGGCAGCATTTCTTGAAGTAAGGCCCCAGCAGCTCCTGCAACAAAACCACCCGAGGACTGCTGGGGCGAGATTCTCAGGTCCCTCCTCAAAAGAAGCACGCCTGAGCGTCTGCAGGATGGAGCCAGGAACCTGGTTTTTAAAAACGAGTTCCCCAGACGATTCTCACGCACACCAAAATCTGAGAAGCAGTGGTCTGGATAAACGCGACAGAAAGGTAATTAAATTGCAAAATTGACATTGAGGAGGAGGTGACCTCAGAGAAAAAACAAGCTTGTTTCCCTTCTAACCCTACTCCTGGTAGCAATTTCACATCTGGATGGTGAGTATTACACCTTCTGGCAAGGATCGGGGAAAAATGCAAGCAAGAAATAGAAACAATATTGGCAAACAGAGAGACAGTACCCTCCTTTTTGGGTCCCCCAGGAGCAACTCACCTCCTCTAGACATTTCCTGAGAAGCTCCACTGCCCTCTCACGTGAGATGGCTGAAAGAAAGCAGAGGGCAAGCACTCAAGCCCAGCTCTCCACAACTTGTGATCACGTTTCAGGTCAGCATGCCACACAAAACGGGAAAGGCAGATATATATGTAATATTAATGCCTAACCTTCTAGCTTGGAACTAACTTAGTCCATGCACAGTTGAGGGTGCCCCAGACTCACCACTCCCACGGCCACTGCAAATTGATTTGCTACGGAGAAGGGTAAGCATGCCAGACTTCTGCCCCCATGGCCAGGGCCCGCCTCTGGAGAAGTCCAGCTGACTGCCTCTCTTTTTTATAGCCCACCCTCCCCCCTTTAGGCCAAGGCTTAAATCAGTTCCATCTGCCCCAGCCAGCTGCAAATCAGGGAAAGGGAAGACAAGCCCAGAGTTTTTGCCTCAAGCCCCCAGCTGGGGGCTCAGCTCAACAATGGGAAGAGAATTCACAGGATGAGGCTGGGACTCTCAAAATAGGAGCCAAAGGACCGGTCCACAGGCATGGCAAACTGGGATGACATATTGCAGAGATAAGCATCAGCGGGGGTTGGTGGTTATTCTGGAGGACAAATCAGCTGGATTACTGAGAGATGCCAAGTCAAGTAACAGTCCCCAGGAGGCCAGGCTAATTGTTTTCAGGCTGCAGCCTGGAGCTCTGGTGGCTGAGGTTGAGTGAGTGGGCAGCACTAAAAAGGAATGAACACACCAAAGTTGTACAACACTGACAGGGAAGCAGGAATGTGCGGGAAGAAGTGGTTATCTGTGTTGCATCTGTAGACTGCAAAAAAACCAAATAATCCCACACCTTTAAACTAACAATCCCAAATCCCGCTGCCCACAGTGGCCAAACCTGAAGCTGGGACGGGGTAGATGAGAGAATCACCATTTCTTGGAGGGGGCAGCTAGGAGGCAATAAGAACGAAGGGCAGAGCCCAGGTTTGTGGCCTTAAAATTTTTTGATATTTAAATAAAACTTTAGTTGTTGAGCTGGACACCTGTTCAGCTTCAGAGGGTCAACACAAACACACATACAACACTGGTTTACAAACTCACTCTGTACAGCTAAGATGCCAATAAATACCTAGGCAGGGCAAAAATGAGTGAAAAAAACTGAGCTCTTGTAATGGGAGAATGAGAGTACCTAACAAAAACGTTTGCCGTACGATGACATCTACTCCAGCCGTCCTTTAAAACAAGACCCAGCTCCAGACAGCTCACTGGGACAGGAAAAGGCGCCTTTGCCTAGCTCTCTGAAGGACACACTGACCCATGGGCAAGCACCGCTCCCAGAGAGCACCTGTTTGTGCTTCTCAGGATACACCCTACAGCCACTCAACCCCAAACTGGGAAGTAGCTGAAGGGACGGCTCTGCTACCACTCCCCACCTAGAATTTTTTGGTGGCACTTACTTGGTGTATAGTATCGATCCAGAATACTGAGAGTCAGGAAGGCACCGTAGCCATGGGCTGCAAAAGGGGCTTTGGCCAAGGCTGCCAGGTAGTCCATGTAGTAGAGTGCTGGGCCCTCGTGCTCATCATAGCCAGCCAGGAGCAGGTTGACGTGGTACGGAGTCTGCAAATAAAAGACATTACAAAGTGATGGTCAAAACCACATCCTTTCCCAGAGCACATGGGAGCATTTCAGCTCTCGGTGAATAAGAACATACGGCAAACTAGTAGCATGGAATAATCACTCAGGAGAGTGACAATTTAGAGGACCCAGAGTATACTAAGGAAGAGGGAGGTTGGGTTTGTTTTTTTTATAGAAGATCACTTGGAAGATTTTAAAGTATAGAAAAGGATTGCTATCTTCTTAAAACTGGGCCCTCGAACTTTTAACTGAAAAGTTGGGGGTGTAAGTGCACAAGCTGCTTCTTGGGAGAAAGATGCGCTGTCTCCTCCCCATAAAGTGTTACAGGCCCAGGAAGAACACACAGGGCCACCACGTGTCATAACCAACCCAATGGCAGTGGCTTGATTATAAAATCTTTCCTAATGGTTGGGATGAAGAGGACAGTTCTGAGAGTTCTGGAACTACAGACTGGCGACAACAGCAGCTCCCACCACAATGCCTAAAACACACAGGCCGAGTGTCAGTAAGCTTCTGGACCCAAACGGCCTATGGCCACTATCAAAGAAATAACTGCTAGGTGGGAAAGGCTTCAAACATGAAAGTCAAATCACTGGGTTTGTTATGAAGATGGTACTAATGGAAGTACATAAAGAAATTGGTAGCTCTAGAAGAACCGAACCTTTCGGTGAAATGCTAACATTTTCCAAATTTAACAGACTCCCCTAAAATAATCTATAAGCAATACACATCAATGAGCCAAATGAAAAGCAGTTATAACTCAGGTGTACACTCTTCGTTTGAATTACCTTTAAATCTAGACTCCAACGACAAGTACTCCTGAGCGTGTTGGCTAAGTGGGCCTTGCAGTTCATTTCTCAGTGGATGACTTTTCTACATCAAGCAGGACATTGAGCGTGTTAAATCCAGTCTGCCAGTTCCTCAGGCATCAGTGGTAGGACGCTCGTTTCGTTCAGCTCCCTTTTTCTCTGCAGGATGTTTTCCTCTTGTCATTTGCCACAGTGGATCGTGAGCACGCTCTGCCATGGTTGGGTGCCCATCCCAAAACTTATTTGTGTATATGGTTGAATTCACACTAAATGAGACACTGTATTATGGTACATAAAGTAGTAACAGCTAATGGTTCTAAAAGTGATCTTTGATACGACTTGAACACTGATTAACATGGACAATTGGCAGCCTGGAAGAATCCATGTTAGAAGGACACACTAAAATACATACGTACTGTATATACTAGAGTATAAGCCGACCCGAATATCCACCGAGGCACCTAATTTTACCACAAAAATGGCATTAAAAATGTGCAGAAAAACTCTGCTTATACTTGCCTATGTACGGTACTTGGATTCCAAGTCAGCTACCTGCACTAGCAGCCAGAGCCCCTTCCATCTCCTAATGTAGCCCTACGCTTCAAGCAAGTTTCTGCCTTGGGAGATAGTCTCAAAGGACTAAGAACAGACCAGTAATAGTCAAGACTCTTGAAAAAGGAATTACCTGCCTACACATTTCCCAATGAGTACTGTGCGGCACTCTGCCAGGCTCTAGAATTCCTTCCCTGTTGAAGGACTAGTTTCTTAGTAAGTCTAACCTTAGGCAATATATTTAACCTCTAGGGGCATCCCTTGTTTTATCTGTAAAACAGACTTCGTCCTTCCCCTCTCTATCTTCCAGGAAATGCAGTAAGAAAAAAATGCTACCTAAGTTCCGAGTGTATTAGCTACATCCATATAACCTTTGATAGCTTAGCACTTTAAATAACAATAACAAGTTAAATCTGCTAGCTAAATATAAATATATATTCATATATAAAATAGCATTTTTTTCCTCAAGTGTGAAAACAGGACTGCAAAAGCAGGCAGACATAATATGTTGATCTTCTTAATAGTTATAATTAGAATAGCAAACAAAACAAAAACAAAAAAGAGAATAGCAAAGGGATTCTCACTAGTCCCATCTCCAAGAGATTTATTAATAGTCTCTTACTTGTCACAAAATTAAAACAAGTGAGTCAGAAGTGACTCAATGGCAGTGATTTTTGGATATCCAACGAGACCGTGACTAGATGCCAGATATGTGTTGTCTCCCATGAGGATCCTGCCCATACTATAAGATTTGTTAGTTTCCTGAGAGGGATATAGAACTATGTACTCATATCTATGTTAAGAATTAAAGTTGCAGATGGACATTGGGTCTCGACTCTAGTAATCTCTTAACACAAGAACACTTTGTTCTAACAATCCAGCATCTTGTGATCACCTTCCTGACACAATCGCTGAAGACAAAATAGGTGCATACGCAAACGTGAAGAAAGCTGATGGTGCCCGGCTATCAAAAGATATAGTGTCTGGGGTCTTAAAGGCTTGATGATAAACAAGCGGCCATCTAGCTAAGAAGCAACAAACCCACATGGAAGAAGCACACAGCCTGTGTGACCATGAAGTGTTGATGGAATCAGCTATTAGGTATCTCATCTAAGACCCAGAACAAAATCATACCCAATGTGAATGGGGGGGGGGGGTGCCGGCATTGTGTGGAGAATCAGTACCCATCTGCAGACTATTAGACATCCCCTCACAGAGGGGTCACAGGGAAGAGATGCACCAGTCAGGGTGCAGTATAGCACCGATGAAACACAACTTTCTTCTAGTTCTTTGATGTTTCCTCACCCCACTATCATGACCTCAATTCTACCTTACAAATTAGATTAGACCGGAACATGCACACTGCTACAGATAAGAGCCCACAACACAGGGAATCCAGGATAGATAAACCCCTCAGGGCCAACAATGAGAGTAGACATACCAGTAGGACTAGGGGAGGGTTGGGGGAGAAACAGGGATTCGATCACAAGGATCAATCTAGACTAGACACACACACACACCCCGGAGGATGAATAACAGAAAAGTGGATGGAGGATGATATGGAAATAATGATCTATAACTTATCAAGCGTTCGTGAGGGAGGGTGGGTGGGGAAGAAATGGGCAGCTGATATCAGAGGCTCAAGTGGGAAGAGGATGCTTTGAAAATGATAATGGCAGCTTATGTGCAAATGTGCTCGACACACTGGATGAATGTATGATTGTGATAAGAGATGTAAGAGCCCCCAATAAAAGTATTAAAAAAAAAGATTTGTTAGTTTCCATCAAGTCAATTCTAACTCATATTGACTCCATATTGTTAAATTGTATTTAAAGCGATTCATAGGTTAAAAAGAAAAAATTATTGAAAGATTTAACATGAAATACTATGCTGACAAATTCCAGAAGCAACCTTTATTGCTTAGTCTATATGATATATTTATGCTTAAGCATCTGACACACACACTCATCAAAGTTGGTATTCAGAAGCTACAACACGTGGTATAGAAGATAACTCACAAATTATTGTGTGACTTCAAATTACCAACTTTTGCATGTGTGAGATGCTTAAGCATAAATAAATGGTGTTATCTAGACTAATTAAATCAATACATCTGTGTAACAACTTGCAGTTTCTGAAATTCTTCTGACAATGCTTCACCAAAGATCCCTGGCTCACACTATTTTGTTTAAATTTAAAATAAAGTCTTGTGTACTGTCATTATCACACACCGAAACCGAAATGATAAAGCCAGTTACGGGTTTCATGATTTTTCTATTCTTCATATTCGATTCATTAGTGCTTTCCTGGAATGAAGTTATGTGCTATTCTTGAACACTGCACCTAATTGTGTATGCACAAGGTGTGACTGTTTATAGTTAGTTTGGAAAAATATTTAGTAGGTATACAACACAACCCATCTATTTAAATGCTTCTACCAATGAAGACAGGACTAGAGTAGTAAGTAAAACAGTACTGCTACAAAAACATAGGAACGTTTGTTACACACAACTTTCAAAATGTGAAGTTTCTCAACATATTCTCCACCTTAGGTCCATACACTTCTGGGGGAGGCGTTTCCATCCTTTTACCTCTTTCCCATAGAATTCTGTGCTCTTTGGTTTACACCAAAAATAGCAGTTTGGGCACCGTCATGGGGCTCAGTTGTATTCCTTTACATTGTTCTTTGAGTTTGGGGAAACAAGGAAAAGTGTGAAGGGCAAGGTCAGGGCTGTACGGTGAGATGGAGGAGAGTTTTCTTTTTTTGTGTGTAATCTAAATGTTTTTTTTTTATAAAGGAAAGACGTTTCAGGGGTTACAGTAGCTGAACACAGGCACCCTCGTGGCACTGCACAGTCACACGTGGGAACCTGAGGTCAGAGAGAGACCACAGCACGGAAGCGCAGAGCGGAAGGCAGAGGAGCCGTGGGAAAAAGGAGGAGAGTGTTCTCAGGAAATTCTGAAAGGACAGCCCTTGCTGCCTTGCAAAATGAGCAGGTGCCTTGTCTTGAAGGGGAAGAAATACTCAAGCCACTTTCCTGGCCCCTTTCTCAGTTTTCTCAAACATTTTCCTAAGAAGCCCCATGATTGTCCCGTGTCTTCCAGAAAGTCTAGAAGACTGTTGTTTTAAACCTGCCCCCAAATAGGCAGTATAATCTTTTGAGCTGGTCTCTCTGTTTCAATGTAACTGGCCCAGCACATCTCCTTGGAAACCGCTATTTTGACAGGGATATTTTTCCTTAAGGCACCCAAATGAGATTAAGAAAAGTGTATTACTGGAAGAACTTGTCTACAGCTATCCACTGATGACAGACAAATTTAAACAGGACTTGTTTGGAATAAACCTGTGCCCTGCTACATAAACTGGAGCCCAAAGAGCAATTACTTCTTGACTTATCCTCATAGGCCTGTCTTGCTCAATTATCTACCAAAATATAGTGTGTAGTCGAAAAACATTTGTTGAATGAGTAATAATAGCTGTATGAGAAAATATTAATTGTTGATATGTACAAGGGAACTTAAAAAGATCACGGGACAGTTTCACTATCTCTTCACTCCACTTTTCCATGTGCTTTTTGATGCCCCCTTGTGAGGATGGCATGTATTTTGTCTGGTTGCACA